ACACACACACTCACTCACTCACTCACTCACACACACACACACACTGACCTGCAAACAGTGTAGCACAGCTGTAATTAGAGGTTGAGTCATGGGTTGCACAATGCAGGACGTGTAATCATATTACTGCAGCTTATCTGTCTCCCCAAGGGCACCTCGTGTACTCTGATCCCACTTCAGGCCACGCACTGCGTCTGTCTGTCACACAGATCAGCAGAGAGAGATAACACACAGGACACGCATTAAAAACAGCTAGACTGGAAGTGCACAAAAGAAGCCTCTTCTGCTCAGCAAGACTGCATTTATTTGATCAAAAATGCAGTTAAAATTTTCAAACATTTTTAGAATTCAAAACAGCTGTTTTCTATGTGAATCTCTGTTAAACTGTAATGTATTTCTGTGATGCGCAGCTGTATTTTCAGCATCATTACTCCAGTCTTCAGTGTCACATGATCTTCAGAAATCATTCTAATATGCTGATTTGCTGCTCAAGAAACATTTCTGATTATTATTATTTTTATTGAAACCACCTGATACACTAACAATCAACAGTTTGGGGTCAGTAAGAGTAAAAAAAAATAATTAATTCATACTTTTATTCATCAAGGATGCATTAAATTGATCCATTTATAATGTTACACAAAGATTTCTATTTCAAATAAATTCTGTTCTGTTGAACTTTCTATTAATCTGTGAATCCTGAAAAATTAAATGTATCACAGTTTTCACAAAAATATTGTGCAGCACACAGTAATGATGCTGAAAATACAGCTGCGCATCACAGAAATAAATTACAGTTTAACAGATATTCACATAGAAAACAGCTGTTTGAAATAGTAATAATATTTCACAATTTTTACAGTATTTTTGATCAAATAAATGCAGCCCTGGTGAGCAGAACTAATGCTTATGTGATATTTCGTAATCGGTATGCTGTCCTCGGTGCGGATGTGATCAGAATCAGATCAGTCATTTCAGGACAGAGTTTCATAATATGCTTTTTAAAATGATAAGTTGTGGTTTAGCAAGCTCGCTTCCTAATCTAGTTGTCTTATAAACCTGCCGTTGTATATTACAAATATTGTTGGCTTTTTGACGAGCTACTGCTCTTGTAAGTGCCTCACATCTGCTAAATGCATGTAAAAATAGATCTCACTGATAAACAAGAGCGAATAAAGATAGAAGGCCATTCGAATGATCTGCTTCAGGAAGTACAGAGCTTTTGTTTTCACAGCATCTTCATGAAAGCGTCTCATTCACTCCAGGACTTTTCCATCTGCAGTCAATGAGAGGAGCAGATCAAACTCTGGCTTTCAGCTCGCACGGCTCTCCGGAGGGTCGTAATCTGCTCCGGATGGCAGACGCGGAGGGAAACGAGTCCAGATACTGCAAACGCCAGTTTGATTCATGAGAGATGTGTACGAGAAGTGTTTCTCGACATGAGCGCTTGTCAAGAGGTTTGGCTTTAACACATGCACCGATAAAAGAGACAAGAACAGCACACAACATGATTTATCTGCATCATAAATATCAATTAAATGAAGAATATCTGTGTCTGGAGCAGTCGACTCGCATTGTCCACAACAATATTCGAAGGCCCACCACTGTAGTTTCTGTAAATTAAATGTAAGATTCTGACTCTTTTTAAGAAAAAACGTTACATGACTTTTTCAGTTGTTCATATACTTTATTAGAACTTTTAGCCTATAAAAATGTTATAGCTCGGCATAACTACATTAAGTGGTAAACTGACAAAAAAAAAAAAATTGGTTTGTATTTTTACTCAGAAATTGCTAGTAAATTTCACCAATAATTGCAAAGAAACGGCAAGTATCACATTTAATTAAATGTGCAATCTTATAGCAGAAAGACTGAAATAGTATTTTCTTGTAAAAAAAACGTTATTTTCTTTGAAAAAATACTGTATAACAAATATCAGCTGCATGATTGTTTATATCGATTGTTTATATTTTATTAATTTACACGACTTCCATTTATTTAACATTTTATTAATTTACATGACTTCTATTTATATATTTTTTTACATTTTATTAATTTACATGGCTCCCATTTATTTTTTTAATTTTTTTTAATGTTATTAATTTACATGACTTCTATTTATTTATTTATTTATTTAACATTTTATTAATTTACATGACTTCTATTTATATATTTTTTTACATTTGATTAATTTACGTCTTCCATTTATTTTAATTTTTTTAAATTGTATTAATTTACATGACTCCCATTTATTTATTTATTTATTTAACATTTTATTAATTTACATGACTTCTATTTATTTTTTTTACACTTAATTCATTTACATGACTCCGCTTTATTTTTTAATCTTTTATTTTATTTTATTCATTTACATGTCTTCCATTTATTAATTTTTTTTTAATTGTATTAATTTACATGACTTACACTTATTTATTATTTATTTATTAATTTACACGACTTCTATTTATATATATATATTTTTTACATTTTATTAATTTACATGTCTTCCATTTATTTTTTATTTTTTTAATGTTATTAATTTACATGACTCCCATTTATTTATTAATTTTTAATTTTTTGTACATTTTATTAATTTACATGTCTTCCATTTATTTTTAATTTTTTACATTTTATTAATTTACATGACTTCCATTTATTATTTTTATTTTTTTATTTTATTTATTTACATGACTCCCATTTATTTATTTATTTTAAATTTTTGTAACTTTTATTTATTTACATGTCTTCCATTT